GGCCTAGCCTTAAGCTGTTTCATCATTTTATCGGTTTCAAAGTAATAAAATATATTTTGCAATAATATATAAAGAGTATTGCTTGAGTCTAAAATGTATTGAGTATATCTTCAATGTATTTTTTTGCATTGACATAACATTGACATTCTTTCTGTAGACTTCATATACGTCACAAAATTAGACAGCTTCATCAAGAGATAAAATATTTTGTCTTTGAAAAACTCGAGACCATTGTTGTTGAACTATTACTGTAGATACGAATAAAATCATTGCACAGCCCACGAACAAAAAGCTTTCCTAACGATAACATAGCTTTCAGTGCTTCATAAGTCACGGACACTCATCTGCTATCGAAAGTACAAGTCACTAATGGTCTGGCTCTTAACCACAACCCATGCACCAGTCTTTTCATTTGGATGGATTTGGTCGTAAACTCTTATCGGAATGAATAATAAACCTCTGTGTGGAATTTGATGTGGGCTGTCCCGAGTATAAATTGTAGCTGTCATCGCTCTACCGGTTCTTAAAAATCGCGAAAAGGAATATATACTCCCTCGAATAACCTACCTTTTCAAGTCAACTCGCATAATTAGCCTGTAAATTGCATACTCGATAGAAGTTAGTAATAATTATTTTTCGAAATGATAAAATCTCATTAAACAGATTTCCGATTATCGTAATAAAGAATGTCATTCGAGTGTCTGTATTATGCAAACGATATGCAAATGACGAGTCAACTTCGAATAATTTACTTGAATTTCTGGAATCGTTCGAGAGCGACAATAAAAGATTTGGTGCTCTACCAGGGTCGATGTACTCAGTTGTTTTTAAAATTGTTCAAGAAGCATATTGATGAATGCGTAAGATATTTTAATGATACAGAATTAAATAATGCGTGTTTATGATCAAAATAACGTCCTGTTTGCTTTATTCTGTATGTGAAACAACGGTTCCGAACAGCTGTAAAACTATCGATTTAACTCGTTTATCACCTGTGTATACCGGGTGACCCAAAACTATACCATCTCTAAAGTTTCGTTATCATAAAAAATTGAGTACCAGCTTGAAAAGTGAACTTGAAACTTTATAATTTTGAGAAAAAGCAGTATTAAAAGCTGCATCGATAAATATTATATGAAATATGAAAACAAAACATACCTGATCTCTTTACGGAATAACCTAACACCAAAACAAGCTTAGTTTCAAATCAATTCAATTAAAAATGTACTTTATTGTCGAAGAAAAAAAATTATTATTGACACCCAAATAAATAAAATACATCAGTCAATTTACAGCCTATTAATTAGAGTAAAAATGGAACAATACTGGGTCTAACGCTTACATGTAGATAGGACATAAGATTCCACAAAGCAGTTTAAAATTGATTTACATGTCCATTTAACCTTTAGCACTGATCCTTGGTCGACTCGGGTTATTTTCGAGTGACTAGAATTTTGGTTCTGTATTGATCAAAATTTTCTTTCGATATTATCAACTCCTGAACAAGTTTTGGGATATCGTATTCCTTCTTCAAGGTGCATACTCACTTGAGCATGAATACGACTGGGGCTGACCGATGCCGTATCGTTTGCCTCGAGTCATAAAAAATCAGGTACTTTTTTCCTGGAAAGAATAACTTTCTTGAGGATTGCAAAAACTTGCTTAAGATATAATTCGTTTTGATAACATTTTATTCAACATCTTATTTAATAAGGATTTCTGATAAAGGTTACATTCGTGTTCCAGCAGAAAATCATTGACAAAATTTGTGTTTCTTAAAAGCGGTGTCTGATAACAGAATCCCAAATGCATGAATTCTGATTTTATCTACTTTTAGCCACTATATCTTGTCTCAGACCACTATTTCCTTGTCCAGATACATTAAATGTAAATTCCTGGTTGCTGGTTTAGACTGTTTCGAGGGTAATATAATAATTTTGGAATTTACTTTTAAAAAATACGCTTTCAGTTAACGGGCTGTCGCCCCCTACGAACGGCAACTCTCAAAAGTCTTGTGCGAGCTAAGGATTAACAAGGTTTGCCTTTTAACATACGATTTACAGAACGGAGATCGCAAAATCTATTAAATAGGTTTTGTTAACAGTTGTAAATAATTTTAAGGGTTTAAGGGGTGTTAAGGGTTCAAGTGAGAGTGACTCGTTGAGGGCTGAATATCCTACATCCATTAGTTAATTTGGATAATGATATCGTTATGAGATATCTTCCAAGGATAATTGGAAACAACATAATAAAAAACATCTAACTAGCTAACTTGCCTATGAAGTCATTTGATTTTTTTCATTGGATTAAACGGAAAAGCAAAGACAAAAATCGAGTATGTTATCTATATTGAATATGTAACTATATACGGTCGTTAAACCTCCAATTGGTTTTAAAATTATTTTTGTGCCAAAATGTAGTTCCTTTTTGCAAAACCCTAAGAGACCCTCAAGATTTGGGTGAAATAATTTGTCAGAATTAATTCACTCAATTAATTTTTATTTTTGTATTCAAGTAATTGACTTATTGGCTAAATAACGGGTCGATAACTTATTCATATTGTAACTAGATATTTTAACCAAAATAAACGGAGTCGAAGTATTCTCAATAAGTCACAAATTCTTACACCATTATAATCTTGAGCCGATGGGACAGTGCGAGTTTTTCAATAATGGCTAATCGTCAAACAACCAGGTAATAATTATTATGACAGATTTGCATAACGGCATTCTTAATTACATTTATAGCGTTCCCATGTAGACAGCCGACATGTTTTTTAATTTTATATGTAACATAAGGAAGAGTATATAATTACAATGTGTAACGCAATATTATTTTGGACCGCAACGTTTTTATTCTATTTGGTTATGTGAATTGATAATTTAGCGGAATCTTGTACGGCAGATGCTCCTTCTTATTAAATCCCTTCGATCGGACAACAAACAAAAAGTATTTTTCGGTAACCAGATGGATTCACTTTAGTGAATCGTCACTCCTGTTGAAGAAATGTTGAGAAATTTACTTAAACGAATGACGGTGAACAACTTCAAAAAACGCCACACAAATATTTTTTTCCAAAAGAAATATTGACACAAACCTAAATTTTCTTGATTTAGAATTGAAAAAATTGTAGAAAACAAAATCCCATAGAACCTTGAAGAATAACTATCAGTTTTCATGATGACTGGTATTGTCATTGTTCCAGAATATTCCATAGTTTTTCAATTTTATGTGGAAATTAGGGATAAGCTGCGAAAAATTTGTGTTAATTGTTAAATTAGGTGATTATCCATTAGTTAACCAAGAAATGTAACATATATTTATTAGATACTTAAAAACGTCACAATATTGAATGTACAATAATTTTCATAACCTAATTTCTTACTATCCTCTCAGATGTAATTAAAAAATCTAGCGGTTAAAAGAGAGGATAAAAAAATAAATATTTTGAGCAGTTTATTCGAATTATTTTTTTGAAGAAATAATTTTTATGAATGTATCCAGAAGACAAAGTTATTGATATAAAAATAACAATATAATACCTAATAAACCTATCTCAATATATTTTTACTCCAAAAAATCTGTTGAAGAATCAACAAAAAGTTGATTCCACCAAGAGCGGTACATATCAGAAATACGTGACAGACTGTGGCATCGTTTTGAAGTTTAACTCAGTACACCTCGAACACCACTGTTAAAGAACTCTTTCATTTGGAAAACTGCGTTTATGTGGAATAAACTTCCTGAGAACGTTTTTCCAAATGGTTTTAATCTCCAGCGATTCAAATCCGATGTGAATCGCTACTTTCGCACAGGCACAGCTCGTAGAGTGCCTTAAGGATTTTCCTGTAGGGTTTGTGTTTTGTCTATTCGACACTCACTTTTGACCTTACCTTAAAAAAGCCCTAAAATCAAAATATTACGCTTTCCTCAACTGATTTTACAATCTGCAATACTCGATCGTTTTTCAATCATCTTGATGTTAAAGCTAAATGTTTGTACTGACTTCGCCAAGCAATTCGAACCACTATCGTTCGGTAATCAATATGTTATCGACGGGACGAGATTGAAGATTTGAACCTTTCATTATAACCAAGGCAGATAGTATCAACGATGTGTACAGAGTCGACTACTTGGACTAGCTACCGACCGTAATCGATAATAAACAGAAGGAACAATTTTAAAGAAAATTGAGTACTAGGTACTGGACATTATTATTAGACAATTTTCGTAAATTGAAGAGTAGTCGAACTTTCTTCCTGGATAATGACGTATTCTGATTGAAAAATTGAAGTTATATTATATTTCAATGTTCCTGAATGGCTGATTGTCCTTGTTTTGAGTAATTTCTCAATATTTGGACAATACGAGTGATTGGTATTTTTAGAAATAAGTTTCTGAATCCGAAGTTTCTTCAAGAATTCGATAAAAAGGACAGACATGGTTCTTTAAAATTCCTTTATTTTATTTATGAGAAAGTGTAACAAATTGGATACATTCCTACCCGAATTTTATTTAAACTCAGTAATATTTATGGCTTCCTGGAAAATGTTACAATTTGCTCCCCATATTTCATTCACTTTGAAATGTTTGCTTTTAGGGAAGTAAAAACCCATACGACTGAGTCGGTGGGAGCCTCTGAAATTTGACCGATAAAAAACTGAATGAAATAATAAGCAAGAAATGCAAAAGTTATACTATTCAAAATTGTATCAAAATTAGCTTATCTTCAAATAAATTAACGTTTCCACATTTTCACGAATTTCATCAGGTGCCATTTATTCTCAAGTTTGAGACTACCTTACCACCACCAAAAATTATCAATACAAGTATTATAAAACGTGATTAAAATCCTGGTCTAATTTAGCTTTTCATGTACATATTTGGCCAGTCATTAACTGGATTAATGCAAAACAGATTTTATTCGAATGAAATACTGAATATTTTCACCAACAATTTCGAGTACGTATGTATTAGAAGATAAGATAAAATAAAACAAATCTGGACAAATTTTTATTCCACAGAAAAAAACATTCCTTATAAAAATAATTACGGATAAATAAACAAGTAAATGTTCCAGCAATTCTACCGTACAAATATCCCAGTTGTTTAAAATTATAGTCAGAGCAGAAACTTCACGAAAGCAATGCCTAAAGCAGCCAATATTATTGACAAAGCCATATATATCAAAGGATTCATGATCACCGCTTGTGCCGGAAACACAACACGAACTTGTTCTTTCAACTGAAGAATTTCGTTTCTCAAACGGGCATTCTCTTCTTTCAAATAACTCTCTTCCTCCTTCAGTTGGTCCATCTCCAGCTTGGCCCTTTTCAGACTAATTTCGGATGGTTTTGTTACTGGGGTAGATGAAGCAGCCGGACTTAAATTTCTAGAATCCTCTATTTCGCTTTGATTGCTGGATATCTCAAAAGAACACCTGAGTTTCGAATCCATTAGATGTTCGGGAATGATTTCTTTCCAAATTTTCTCCATGTTCAACTCGCCACTCGGCGCAAACGCACTCTGCACCATGAATTTATGTTTATTCTTTTCCGTAGCATCGTACATGCATGGTTGAAGACATATCTCTATTTCTTTCTTTTCCTTAGGGTCTAGTATACCGGAATTCGGGCGAACACAGTACTTTTTCGGAGCGGTAGTTTTTATTTTGAACATTACCCTTTTATCCGTCGGATTTGTTAGTTTCATGCATGCTGTATTGGCTTCGGTGAAAGGCCCTCTGAATAGTAGTTCGTTTTGAGGCTCCAACTGCAGTACTTGTTCCAATTTGATGGACATCGCTCAACTTGATATCATAATGGTATGAAGTTAATAACAAGGTATAAAAATCAGGACTGTCAAAGTGACAGCTGATTTTTCGTTCTACTCGTCTTGCTAAAAATGGCAAAAGCAGTTAGCAAATCAAAACACTTCGATATAGGGAACAATTACAACAAGAATAATTCAAAAAAATCTCGATTCAACAAAGAAAACAAAATAAATTGAGAAAAATATTTGTATATCTCCTTTAAGTTCGATACTCTTTATTCTGTATTGTGAAAATTATGGAGCTTCGGAAAATGACCATTGTCGAATCATAAACAAAGACATTTTATCGAGGAACGAAAAAATAATCAGTAGAAACTGCATCTGACAAACCTCAAAGTAAATAGAGACTGAAGCAAATATAATCATTTGCTTCACTTGTTCCATACACTTCACAAATATACTTCCATTTGGATAACGGAGTACTTGAAGAATAAACTTCCAGGCATCGGTTTTAGGAGCTTCTATAATTCATCTTTATATCAACTGTAAGTTGAACGAACAAGGGGGTAATGGTGCGATGTTCATGAAAAGATGCGAAATTAGTTTATGTTCTTGTGTAAAATCGCCAAACATATGATTAAAACATACTTTTGCTAGGTCATTTTGAAGACTTTCTTCAGCTTTTTTGGTCTGGTCTCCTCATTTGCCTGACCACGATGATGCTCGTCTACGGAGTTCTAAGCCGTCTGCCATCTAATTATTATTGTGTTTTACTATTCAAGTCGGTAACCAGGCCATATTAGACCGAATATTTGCCCAGTCCTCTGGAGTACCCAAATCACCTTCAAAGAAAATACTAGGGATCCATAAAGTTATAAGTTAGCACAGGTACTTCAGGAACTCTGTGTGCAAATTACTCTTCATTGCCAAGAACACACTGGAAGTTGCCGTTCTTGATTTGAATAAACAAATGTAACGTATACCCCGGAAGTGAATATTTTATCTAAAATCGACAATCAATATATTATTCCGAGAAAATGAGTTCAAATAAAATTCACCATACAAATAATACGTCGTGCATGTTCCGCGAAGTTCATTTCGAAGACGAAATAGTACAATTATTTGAGTTATGCAACAAATGCGGCACAACATACGGAAGTGAATCGAATGACATTTTGTTGTATTCATTTATTTCAGGCAGCAATTGTTAATGTTTGGTCACGAATATCATCGCGATTTACCATACGTCGGAGGCGGGTTAACTATCTCGTTGCTATCAGAGCAGTATTGTATTTTATGAAACTCTGTAGAGAGTAGAAATGGAGATGAGATGCATGATTTCGTGAATTTAAAACTTTATGGGGCAAATTCAAATCTTTCTGGAACTGAAGCTGTTGAGGAGATTTTTTTATGAAATATTCAACGGTAGATGTTTGTTGATTTTTGTATGTGAATTTGAAATGTTTCTATTAATATTTTTAATTTAAAAGAAATACTTATTTATTTTTGCATGGACAATAGTTATATAAGTATGTTTGCAAGAAAAGTTACTATATTAGTTTTCCCTGAGTAACACGACACAGTATTTCTGAATCATTCCATTCCAACTTGGAACGAGTTCGTATCCATTGGCTATTGCTCAGCCTCCTATCTTAGGCCATAAAGAAAGTGACTTCCAATCAGTACAGTATCATCGAGAGCTGCAGAAGTTGACGCCAAGATTACAGCCAGTATTTATGAAAATCCATGAGCATAATCGCTTCTGATAGCCTTATTTATATCTTCAACATTATCTAAACTGTTTCTTTGATATATCAGAGAAATTTATTTATTTTCAGTCAGAGTAAATATGCAAAGAGATAGAGATTCGTTAAAACCTAATATAACCCCAAAAAGGTTAAAAATAATATTTTGGTCAATAAAGTTTGAAGTAAAACAATTAGGTCTATTATTTATCACATTGGGGTATGACTTATCTTTCTACCTATTTTTATCTGTCATTCAAACACTGGTAATCGTTAAATGCCTTGTGATTATAGTTGTTATTAAATGCAATAAATCTTCTCACACGTCTTTTGTCATTAATGTATTTTTTTTCAATTCTTTAATCATAATTATAACTTATATGGAATATAAAGTGCATTTTTAGATATTCCAACAAATATTATGAAACATTTTATATTTAATGGCTGTTTTAATGAGCAATAAACGCTAATCGGTACAATTCAATATTGGATCCCATCAGGTATCACGATGTCTTTGAAGTACATACTTGAAAAGTGTCTATCCTTTCAAAAACCTAGAGAATTTGAATAAGGATAATAGTTAATACATGAAGGAAATCACGAAGTACTTCAGTAGTGCTAGTGGTAAAACTAATAAAAATGTAGACAGCAGCCCTGGGAGTTATGGATTTTAGGCTATCAGTTGGTAGCCGGGCGATTCGACGTGGGTGCTTTGTTCACTCAGTCAATCGGCCGATGTGTGAGTCGATGGTTCAAGCCGCAGGCAGAACGCTCGATTTTCACTCGCTATCATCCAACATGTGTTAGGAATCACAAGTTAAAAGGTAAGACTTTGTTAATCCTTAGCTCACACAAGTTTTGACTTCTGAGGGTTGTTATTCGTAGGGGTGCGATAGCTGATTAACGAATAAAAAATATTTTAAACATACATATTTTAATATGTCATAAAAAATAATTTCACCGTTCTACTTTTGAAAACAGAATAATGAAACAAATGAGATATTACGCCCTTCAAAATGCAATGAAAATATTCAATCTAATAATAATGAATAGATATATAATACAATAAAATAAGATTTCGACTAATTTTTTCGAAAACTTGCTATGGTAAAACTTAATCTAGAATGACATAGGTAAGTGGGATACAATGATGAGGTAGGCAGCGACAAAAAATGTTTGGCTTTCCAATTCTCCATCTTTATATAAAATACGTGGAAAACATCCAAAAGAAGGAAGAAAACAATTAGGTAAGTTCAAAATGAAATCTCAGATACCAAATGAAAGAAAAAGGCTTCCCGAAACAACTACTTTCACATGAACATTGAAATACACGAAACAAAGAACATTCGAAGTTTTAATCTCACATGAACATTGATTTTTACCAAAAACCACTTTTTCGTATTCAGTTTGTAGTCTAAATACTCTTTATGGAATTGTAAAACTTTCTCCTAATCTCTCCTAAAACTATACCCCATTCATTGTAGATACAAATAATGTTGTTAGTAATGGAAAGTCTGGAAAACAATTCGAAAAAGAGTGTTAGTTTCATAATTTAATGCAAACACCAAACATTACACTGAACACGTTATGCTTAATGCACGTATTTGTGATATCGGAACATTTTCATTGATTGAAGTTGTTTTGATAATAAGATTTGTGAATTTGTGACTCTAAATGACATGGAGAATAGATCAAACAACCCGAGGTGACTTCATTCTTGACGTCAGTATCTTGCGAGATCCTACATTCTTCCTCGCATTTGATGCATTCAGTACTGAAGATGTCTGGTAACAGACGAAAAGTTTGGTGCCACAAGTTCCTTTCGACCACGGCCAAATAGCCTGGATTTTGTTCTCTCCAGTCGCTACACTAATTATTGTCTTATAATAAGAAATAAATGTTGATATCTTGGATGGTATAAGAGGCCAAAAGTGATGCATCCTACAGGGGGCAGCGGATCCCGTCAGCGCTATTTCTACATGCATAGATTTCAACTTTACCAAAAATAATCACGAAAATGTACTAAGGATGCGTAGATATCACCTTAGAGGAAATTGACATTCATGCTCAGTTCTTTGGCGAAAAATTATAGAACCCAATTTTATCAAATTCCAGCTAGTCATCTGCAGAGTTCTCTGAAGGGATTTATTTAAACTGCTGATATTCATCAATATTGAAAAAAAAAATTGGGCCCAAATAAATAAAATACATCAGTCAATTTACAGCCTATTAATTAGAGTAAAAATGGAACAATACTGGGTCTAACGCTTACATGTAGATAGGACATAAGATTCCACAAAGCAGTTTAAAATTGATTTACATGTCCATTTAACCTTCAAGATATTCTTCCAAGCTGTAGTATGCTTTCGTAAGCAAAAGTTCCTTCACACATTTCGGAATGTTTTTGAGTTTATAATACTTTTCATTTCAAATTGTAGGCTTAGGTTTCCCGAAACAAATTTAAACGAAATTATATTAGTCTTATTCATATTGAAACATAAAGAATTGAAATCACATCAGGATTTGATTTTCTCTAAATCAGCCTCAATCATATTTTTCAGGGAGTCTGTATCATTTCCATGCCATAGTAAGGTTGTATCGTCTGCAAACATTGCAAACTTCCCTTGTATATCGATATTAGATAGGTCATTCACATAGATAAGGAACAAAATATGGCCAAGCACTGATCCTTGGTCGACTCGGGTTATTTTCGAGTGACTAGAATTTTGGTTCTGTATTGATCAAAATTTTCTTTCGATATTATCAACTCCTGAACAAGTTTTGGGATATCGTATTCCTTCTTCAAGGTGCATACTCACTTGAGCATGAATACGACTGAGGCTGACCGATGCCGCATCGTTTGCCTCGAGTCATAAAAATCAGGTACTTTTTTCCTGGAAAGAATAACTTTCTTGAGGATTGCAAAAACTTGCTTAAGATATAATTCGTTTTGATAACATTTTATTCAACATCTTATTTAATAAGGATTTCTGATAAAGGTTACATTCGTGTTCCAGCAGAAAATCATTGACAAAATTTGTGTTTCTTAAAAGCGGTGTCTGATAACAGAATCCCAAATGCATGAATTCTGATTTTATCTACTTTTAGCCACTATATCTTGTCTCAGACCACTATTTCCTTGTCCAGATACATTAAATGTAAATTCCTGGTTGCTGGTTTAGACTGTTTCGAGGGTAATATAATAATTTTGGAATTTACACAAAATTTAAAAAATACGCTTTCAGTTAACGCCCCCTACGAACGGCAACTCTCAAAAGTCTTGTGCGAGCTAAGGATTAACAAGGTTTGCCTTTTAACATACGATTTACAGAACGGAGATCGCAAAATCTATTAAATAGGTTTTGTTAACAGTTGTAAATAATTTTAAGGGT